ATTAGGGTCATGCCTGATCTTGCGACGCAGGCAGCAACCGCCAACAGCTGTGCCTCCAAAGATGCACAGGTGGCTGAGGTCGCCCGGGATGGGTTTTGCGGAAGCTGCGCAGCGTTGCAATGAGAGTTGCTAAGTTGGCAGACAGGTCCTCCATAGCATGTATTTCATTCATCTTCCAGCACAATTCAAAATATGAAGCTGATCATGAAACAGACCGAACCTTTGAAGAATTCATCGCAGCCCTACGCCAAGCTTTGTTACTAGCCTTCCCAGGACTGCACCACTGTTAAGCCTTCTTGAAGGGAGGTACAGTAACACTACTTCTGGGAGCACAAAGACGGGCTTCTCTCACTGCATGAGTATCATGTATTTGGTAGTTTCCCAAAATAAGGGAACCCCAATATAGATCCAGAAATACTATAGTCCTTATTATAGGGACCCCCAAAAAGGTACCGCTAATTTTGGGAAACCCCCATTTGGTCCTTGTCAGGGGGAGCAAGTCTTGGTGCCGCGCAAGCTATCCAGCATGGAGGCATGCGATCACGGCATTTTCTTGTTTTTGCAGTCGGAGAAATGGGGGTTTCCCAAAATTAGGGGTACCATTTTGGGGGTTCCCATAATAGGGACTATAGTATTTTGGGGTCTATATTGGGGTCCCCTTATTTTGGGAAACTACCAAATCCTGCAGAGTTTCACAGAGACAGGAATTCGCATCAGCAGGCATCCCAGCCTGTCATTCTGACACAAAGATTGCAGCTTCCCCGGGACAGCAAGCCGAAGCTACAACCCAACACACACAGAAGCGCTACTTCTGAAGCACTTTTGTGCAGGCAGCCGAGTTTGAGAAGTTCCTCCAGCCAACTTTCTGCTTCGCGTTCACCTGGACAATCGGGGGCAGCCGCTCGGCTGACCTCAGAGATTCTGACAGTCATGGCAGGTCAGGTCCGGAGGTTGCGCCAGTTCTGAGTTCCCTTCCTATTGAAGCTTAAGAAGAGCCTTCAAACTCGGGATGTGTCTCCCTGTCGAAGAGGGCCGGCAAGACATGCAAACGTACAGAAGTGCACTCATGAGGCTGTGATGCCAAGACGCGAGGAATGTCACCTCCTCGGCATCGGATGCCCCTCATGCTGTGCTTGTTTCGAAGGTGAAGCAGGCGTGTAGGAACCAGCATTCACCTGCTTCGCACTCGAGGGTATTGATTTCAGAGCAAGGAGTGAAATGCCATTGACAAACAGCATGGTTATCAAATGACCTTGCACCTCGCCTTGGGCATTTGCGAGTCTTGCTCTCTTGAAGGTTTGCCCGCGAGATTGAGAACTGGTTTCCCAATGTCTCCATGCCACGGGGAGGAGGCCTTTGTGGCCTTGGTGCGGGTACAGGGCTTGCAGCTGAATGCAGCAGGATTCGGTTTCTGAGCATTGATAGAAGGTCCACGTGCTCCTGATATACTTCTTTTTGTTAGTCTGCGTGTTGTGGCTCATAGTTGAAGCAGCCGTACTTCTGGCAGGCCCCTACGATGGCTTCATCAACTACCACGAAGGACACCTGGGAAAGTAGAGGGTCGCCAATTTGCCAAGACCTTCTGACATCAGCAAGCCAGTGCAGGATCCAGTTCCTACCTGCCTAGCCCGAAAGCCAAATGTACCCCCTCGTTCCCTGGCAAAGAACCTGCAGCGCAGGGCCAAAGTGGAAGTCATGGACTGACATTGTGCCGAAGTTCACCTTCCAAGAGGGTGTATCTTACTTCCAGTGCCTTGCCTAATCTCAGAACTGGATCTCCCAGCTTTTGCTTTGTCGAATCTCTGCGTGCCGAGGCTGCTGGTTCCCAATCCCGACACCGTGCGCTTCTCCTACGTCATGGTCCTCTGCTCAGTGTTACGCTGATCTTGGGGTGGTCTCGTCCACTTTTGAGGGGACCGACAGTCAGGCTGCAAGCGTGCGGGGGCCCCTGTCATCCCCTGTCTAGTTTATACCCTGTGCTTAGAGGCTTTTCGTGAGCTTCCTCGGGCCGAAATCGTGGCTTCCATTTTTCCATTCCCGCTATATAAACCGCCATATAACCCCATATAACGGCATTGAACCCCAATGTACTACGTCGTTTCCAATTTTTTCCCAATGACCCCATATAACTCCATTGCGCGGTGTCAACCCTAAACCCTAAACTGGAGAGGACAGGATGATGACGACGCAGCATTCTGTTTTCCTTACGGGCAACTCTGGCGTCGGCAAGGCTGGGCCGCCATTGCCAACCAAACCTGCAAAATCCTAGAAACACATATGCGTGTGTCTAGACATGCCAATGTGTAGGAGCAATTGTATGCTTGTAGGAATGTATGCTTACATATATATATATATATTCACACAGCTATATTCATGTATATAGATGTATGTAGATGTATGTGTATGTATACAGATACACATGTGTTTGTATGCAATCTTGATGGTTCAGAGACTGACACCAGTAGCTACGGATCTCTCAATACCTGTATCATGTCACTCTTCCTTGCTGGTCAGAGCGTGAACGTCGCTGCTCTGCTGGAGAAGATGAAGGAGATAGCCTCCGTCATGCCCGTGACCAGACAGCACTGATCCATGCAGGGCCTCACTGTTGAAACCCTAAATCCTACCACGATCCAAGTTCGACCTGAAAGGGCACGAGTTACCTTGGGTGGAGCAAGTTGAGCTTGTGGTGCAGGGTTGCTATCGCCATGCTTTCCATGCATGGGGACCTTCGTGTCTTGAGCCGAGGTCTACATGACTTTTAGTGCTCAGACCAAAGCATACGATGCCTGGCTAGCAAGAAGGATGAGTGTGGGAGTCTAATGGATTCTTGGCCGAAGTTGCAGGGTCCGGTGCAATGTTGGCTGTGAATCTTAGGAAACCCAGATCAACATCGAAAGCAAGCTGGAGAGAAAGCGGAAGACCTTGCTGGGTGCTCCAGTGAACAAGACAGTGCGGTGCCCCAGAACGTCCATCGAGTGAGTAGTATTTTATTTGGGGATACTATGGTACCCAATATCGAGTAAGATTATAACCTCCTTTTGGGTATAGTATTTTATATGAGGAATATTATCTTACTAGGTTCAACCACCAAAAAAGCACTACTCAAGTGGCGATTTGGATGTGTTGTTGGCCTTAGAGTTGACACTGGCCATGTCTGTGAAGGTGGTGATCCTCATCGATGATGTCAACATGCCTCTGGTGGAAGAGTATGGCGCGCAACCTCCCATCGAGCTTTTGAGGTCCTTGCCTTGGTCGTTTCCCAAGGGTTTAGGGTTTAGGGTTTAGGATTTAGGGTTTAGGGTTTAGGAGGGCAACCCCAATGCAGACCCCAACATATTATTGTCCTTATTCTTGGGAACCCCCAAAAAGGTACCCCTAACTTTCCCCACGATAACCCCTATATTCCCTTTGCAGGTATCCCTAGTTTTGGGGAAACGCCACCTTTCTTGCTTCCTCACAGCGATGTTGATGGCGATCACGTGCTGCGTCCATTAAGGCAGTTCCAAGACCAGAGAGGCTTCTTTGACCGGAAAAAGCACGAATGGAAGGAGCGCTCTACATGCGCTATAGTCCAGACTCCATAAAGGGGATAGGGTTTAGGGTTCAGGGTCTAAACTCCCTCGAGGTTATATAGGGGATTATATAGGGGACAAACTATAGGGGTTATGTAGGGGAATACCAGGAGACGATGTCCCAGATAGGCTCCTGCGTAGATCATGCGGCAAGTAGCCGGGCATAGTTGATGCTGCTCTTCCTCTAGAGGACATCGAGAATACCACTTTGCTGCTGTGCGCAGCCCCACCAGGCATAGGGCTTGTTTTGGTTGTTTATAATCAGATCTAGCACTTTCAACAGTGCGTGTCCTATTCCAATCACAGACAGCTGGCATGCAGTTGGCCATCATTTCGAGACTCATGTCATGGCATGTACAATCTATGGTAGACCCGTGAAAGCCACAAGTGCCAGGGGGTGGCCGCAATTCGATGACGGCAAGGTTCACAAGACATTCGCAGGTCAGAGCACTGCCAAAATGATTTTGCATGGAATCTGTCAGCTTTATGCAGATGCAGCATTCTCTTTCACCCCGGATCCATGCAGTTCTGATGCAGGTGCTGTGCATGCCGCCCACCAGTGAGGAGGCCATGTGAAATCTTCATGTGAAATCTTCGCTTCATGTCACGACTGCCATGCCTCGGCCAGCTGGCAGAGCATGGGATAAGTTGTAATCAGTGGCTTGCGTGAAGGCCATGTCCACCATCTTCGGCTCAATCATCTCTGGCTTCCTACAGCGTTTCAAAAGCCAGGGCTCCTAGTGAAGAGCGCCAAAGCACTTTGTTCATGATGCTCCGGCTTCGCTTCAGGTGAGGTTCAGGGCCTGGCCAATGCTTCCGTCCAAAGCACCATCGAGATGTACAACAAGTGCCGCTGACAGCTTTCTTTGAAGCATCTTGAACGACTTCCAGTTGTGAAGCAGCTGCCCGGCGCACCTCGCAGGTGCGGCGATGAGCTCTTGCCAACGCCCACACGTCCTCACTACACCTTCAACCTCCGTGATGTTTCCAAGGCGCCATTGCAGGGAGAAAGGCAGAGTGCAGCTGACAACAACAAGTTACAGTTGACCGGGTTGCTGTTCAGGAATTTAGATTAAGTTACCATGATGGCTACATATGGTGATTAATATTGTTTCCGCAAGGTAGTGACTCAAATTAAGTTCCTTAATAGCACCCAGTTGAGCTGCAGGTCTTTCAGGGACTGCTCATGGTGAAGCCGATGCATGCTTGCGGCTCAGACTGCCCTGGCGAATGGCGATGGCTTTCGGACTTGGCTGTCACAAATTCCTTGAACTTGCACCCTGTGCGCAATCTAGATCCAATCCTGATGGAAACTAGGGGTATAGATATTGGGGTAATTAGGGTTACATAGGGTTTATAAAGGGGCTTATATGGGATAATGGAAAAATGGGATCTACTATTTAACCACGCGCTATAGCAAGCAGTATGGCCGCCGATGCTGAGGTGACCAATGCCGAGGCTTTCACAAGGCCAGCTGCACATTCTTCGGTCCCACCTGTGAGTCCTCTGCAGCTATGAGAAGTTGTGGCATAAACCCTAAACCCTAAACCCTAAACCCAAAACCCTTGCATTGCGCCGGAAGGCTTTGGTACCACGAGCTTTCACGTGTCTTCTGTGATCGTCTCATCAACAAAGCAGATAAGGACAGGGTTTAGGGTTTAGGGTTTTAGGGTTTTAGGGTTTAGGCTTTAGGGTTTAGGGTCAGCTTCGTTTTGCACCTGCCAATCCATCTTGCGGGAGCACGTTGAGCCAACATCTTGCGAGCGCTGGACATGGATTTCTAAACCCTAAAGCCTCAAACCCTAAACCTTAAACCCTAAAACCCTAAACCCCAAACCATAAACCCTAAAACGTAAACCCTAAACCCTAAAACCCTACACCCCAAACCAGAAACCCTAAAACGTCAACCCTAAACCCTAAAACCCTACCCCAAGCAAGACATGGATTTCTTGAGTTGCTCGAGAGGAGTGGTTCTACAAGGCAGCAGCCGAGCAGCTTAAGTCAAGGCATGCAACAGAGCCTCTGAAGGGCTTTGGGTTTAGGGTATATATAGGGTTTAGGATTTAGGTTTAGGGTTTAGGGTTTAGGTTTAGGGTTTTGGGTTTAGGTGTGATATATGGGTCCATGAGACTTGCCTATATATATATATATGTATATGCTTATATTGGGGTTATTAAGGGATAATGGAAAAGGAAATGGAAACTAGTACAGTATAATGAGGTATATATTGGGGTTATAGGTGTTGCGTATGGGTACTTCCCCAAATTGAGGTGCCCTTTTGGTAATATAATCTGTAGCCAAAAGGGGCCCATAATCTTGGGAAGAACCCACATATGGCTGATTTTGTGTATACATGGGGGTATATAGGGGTTACATAGGTGTCAGGGTTAAGGAATCTTGCCCAAAAGGTAGGAACCAAATGGAAAAGACTATGGCTGTGGAAATGGAAGCTGTGGAAATGCTCAGCTAGCTTTTGGTTCGGAATTTGCTTAGCAAAAGCAGTGATGTGCATAAAGTCCTTGGCCCCATGTGCTATGGAGGTTCCGAGTCCTGGACACTGATCCTGAGATTTGGAATGCCTTGATGCCGCTTTGCTGCAAGATAGTGACTGACATATCTACTGGTATGTACTGATCTTCCACACTAAGCTTTAAGTCCCAAACCGAGGTGTTCGTGATGTCCCTTGTGTGGAGGAGTTACCTTAGTTCGCTCTGCAATTTACCTGCGTGTTGTGTTCAGGTCTGGTTGGGTCGTTTCAGTCCTCTGAAAGAGTTTTAGGGGTGTAGTTATGATTTTGTCTCCATGAAATCTTGAAAGGTCCTAAACTGCAGCTGACCTTCACCTATTCAGGCACTTGCCACTATTCTACCTGTCGTAGTTTGCCGTTGCTTTTCAGGGCCTGTACATTCTGTGCCTTGGACGCTAAAAACTCTGGGACAATCTGTCAAGTGTTGCTCGCTGGAGTGACTGCCACATTGCAGGAAAAACAGAGCAAAGATTCTCTCCGTAGCCCTTGGCCCAAATCGAACCGAAAACCCTCGACGATTCTGGTCGCAATGTTTCGCAGCCTGTGGCCGCAAGCTTTGCTTTGTGCTCGTTTGCTCAGCTGCGGAGCCTTAGAGCAGTCTGCGGAGCATGTCGATCTCCTACAGCGGGCGCCACCTTTCTGCGTAATTCTAAGGTCTTATGCAGCTGGAGGTGGATCCCCTAAACAGAATTGTTGTTGCCAAATAACTGAGGCTCATTGTGAACAAGGATGCCGGCACCGGTGCCCTTGCCACCGGAAGCAATTCTGGCCGCACTTTGTCACCTTTGCCAATGAGCCTTGGCAAAACAACTCTGGAAGTTTTGTGCGAGGAGCTGTACAACAAATGTTGCAACCCCTCATGCTTCAGGACTTGGTTTCACCCGGCGCAGGGTGGCAGCATTGCGAACATGCTTGTTCACATGCCTGGCTTTTGCCCTGGAGTGCCTTTGAACGTTTCAGTTGGCCATCGTGACTTCGGCGGGAGCTGTTTCATTTCAAATTTCATTGAGGCTTGCCCGGGCTTATGTGATCCAACACATTTCCGTTGCCCGCCAAGTCTCGCAGAGTGTGTGGGGAGCCGGTACAGTGAGCAGAAAGGGCACCTGGTGGGAATGTTCCGGCAGCCGGAACAACGCCTTCTCTCAGAATACTACGACTATAACCAAGAACTCTTCTTTCCAGGCGCCCCACTTCTTTGCAACTACACGCAGAATCCAGGGAACATGACAGATCCTCCGAATTTGTCTGCCCTGGAGTATGCGCAGAAGGCCAGAGGTGAAGTCGTCTACCAGCTTGTGGGAGAGTGCAGTCCCGGGGATCACATGCTGGGGAATATCGGGCTGCAGTTTTGGACGTTTTGTGAAAGTCATTCCTTGTTTAAGGGCCTGAGGCTTAAAGGGGACATTCTGCTTTTCTCTTTTTCAATCCCTAGGAGCAAGAACAAGACTTCTTTTTTCAAGAAGGCTCCAAGTAGCTGTCTCAATTCCTTTGCACAGTGAGGAATAAGTGGCCATTGAGCGATGAGTGGAGGACTCAGAGCAATGCCGAAGAGGCTGCCCGGCGGGTGCGCGAGGGCTTTGCTTTTGTAGGCATCACGGAGGACTGGGTTTGATTTTTGTCGACTTTTGACCGAAGCGACTATGTTATTTGTTCCAACCTGCCGAACTTTTTTCCATTATTGACTAATAGTAGATGTGAAGAAATGCTGCCCCATTTTTGTTGACTCCTTTTAGAGGTGCTCTTTGATTCTATCAGTGTTCCAAACACGTTCGTGTGCCCTGGAGGAGTGGGACCTTTCCATTTGCTTGTTTCACAAAATGTTCGGAGGCCCTTGCAGGGCATCTGACTTTGCAAACGAGCATCCCACGCCGAATGCAAACAAGACTGCCGAGGGTTTGTATGACACGGCCCCATTGCAGGGATTTCACGATGATGCTGGGCTGCACTTGAATGTTGTTTGTTGCATGTTAGGTTTATTGAAAGCGAGAGGAACCACAGAAGTTTGGGGTTTCTCGGGTTCCAAGAGCAGGACCTGGACGGGACCGTGTACCAACAGGCGCTGCAGTCCTTCAGGCAGAACTTGCTGAAGTACAATGTGTCCATCGAGTCATGTCAATCTTGTTTTGCAGAAGCAAAAGTCGTGTAAGTCCGGCTTGCTACTGCAGCGCTGAAAGCGTTGAGACTTGGCTCAAGACATCGATCTTCTGCCCCACGGAAAACGTGAGTTGCGAAAGGGCTGTACTGAATGTGGCAGGATTCCTGGATTGCGTCTTCAGGCAGTCGCCCCCCCAGTAGCACTCATGAGCAGGAGCCCCCCTAAACCCAAAACCCAAAACCTTAAACCCTAAACCTGAAATCCCTATATTACCCCAATATAAGCCCAATATATACCCTGTATAACCCATTATCGTAGTTTCCATTTTCTTTTCCATTATCCCTAAACCCTAAACCCCAAACCTCAGCAGGGCACTGCGCGCCTGCCTGCCAGCCTGCTGAACAGTTCTGCTCCTGAGCTTGAAGCACTAAACCCTCGGTTCTTAGCAGAGAATAAAAAGGGCATATATCATAGACCAGTAAGATGTTGGGTGTGTAATAGCTTCACTCCTAGGTAGGAATGCCTTGGAATGCTTAGGTGGTGCAATTTCCTTCGTCCGGTTGAATCCCGAGTCTATGAAGAGGCCAAGGACAAGACGAAGGCCGCTAGATGCCAAAGGTTTAGGGTGTAGGGTCTAGGATTTTTTGGATGCTAGCTACCTAACATCTCAAAACGAGCTAGCGCCTTCACTCTTTAAGGGGGTTACATAGGGGACTTTATATGGGAGTATTGTAGGGCCTATTAAGGGGGATACTAGGAGTTTCAACTACAGCTCACGCACTGTATCCATTATTGGGACCTAGAAGAAGGAGTGTCATTTTGGTTCATAGAGCACGCAGCCCAGTGACCACAGAAAGATATCCTGAAACGGCCGCGGTGAATCAGGTGCAGAAGGTCCTGGAGGATGCCAACGATGAGTACAACCTCTCACACACAGCACAGATGAATCTGGTTTTCTTCCAGGAGCCCGCAGTAAAAATGGGAGGCCTTAGGGAAGGCTAAGGGAGTTCTAAGTTATTCGCCGCCTCAAAGACTTCTTAAGGATTCTTTAAGTAATTCTACATCTGTGCAATTTTCAAGAAGGAAGCCCGAGCCGAGTTCAAAAGGAATCTGGGGGTTTCCCAAACCTAGGGGTACCTTTCAAGGGGAGATATAAGGGGCCTATCTAGGGGTGGAATAGGGGTTAAATAGGGTTTAGGGTTTCCCAAAACTAGGAATATCTTCTGGGGGGTGCCTATAACAAGGATTATAGTCTTTGGGGGTCTCAATTGCGTTCCACTTGTTTTAGGAAATTACCATCTTTCAAAGTTAGCGCGCCTCGTTTTGCCTGGCTATCACTCACAAGATAATTGCTTAGGATTTAGGGTTTAGGGTATTTACAAGATAATTGTAGTTGTACAGTTTCCATTTCATTTTCCATTTCCTTTTCCATTTGATTCTTCATGACTGGGGTATGGTTAGTACGTATTCCCAGAACCTTCATGTGGGGGCTTCCATACACGGTGGTCCCTTCACGATATTCTGGTTTTGTTCATGGGGCTTTACAGAGAGCCCTCTCATTTTTGAAGTTTTGGAAGCGTTCCTTTTCATGATACAAACCTTAGAACCTAAGCTGAGCCTTAATTCCTAAATCCAAAACCATGTGGCAAACTCATCTGAGTTATGGTACCAAATTACTTGCAGAAAGACTACACCCTCCTTCTGGGTGCAGTATTTTATACGCAGAACATAGTCTTACTTGGTTCAGCAAGCCCTAAACCCTGAACCCCAAACCCCAAAGCCCAAATCCTTAACCCTAAATCCTAAACCCTAAACCCTAAACTCTAAACCCTAAACCCCAAACCCGCAACCCTCAACCCTAAACCTTCAACCCTAAACCTTAAACCGTGTGTCCGGAGAGTTCCGAGAGTTCCTCAGCTTGTCCAGGATTGTGTTGAGCACATCAACCGCATTGCCAGAGTGTTGGCGCAGCCGAGAGGCCAATACCTATATCCCTTCCCCGCAACATGAAGACCCTCCATCCTGCTAGTATCAAATATGTAATGACCTAGAATACCACATGGGGAGACCTTCAGATGAGGGGTGGGCGTCAGGACGCACACTAAATACATGTGGGCTTATTTCACACCACGTGCAGACGTTGGCGGAGGCAATCTTCTCCTCGTCGGTGTGGGCGGTAGCGGGCGTTCGAGCTGCGCAAAGATCTGTGCCCCAACAGCACCAAATATGAAAGGACATGGCAGTGGACAGAAGCGGGAATGCAATGCCGCCACGCGATGCCATGTGTTTTTCGGAGCGGATGAGTTCTTTTCAGCAGACACAAATTGACCTGATCATATGAATCCAATTCTTCTTTCGCCATCCAAGGTGCTTGCATGTCTGAGCCTGGAGCCCAGTTGGCGGTGCCTAAACCCTAAATAGTAGTTT